GCTTTTTTGTTTTACTTTTCCAACATAAAAGAAAAAGCAAATATAAATCTAAATATTTGTGTATAACGCCGATGAGAGTGTATGATTCTTTTTAATATTAAAAAAAAAAATCAAATATAAATTAATTTTATAAAAATATAAAACAATATGGAAATCGTTAAAATACTTCGAATCATAAAAATAAGATATTACATCGTACATTCGTACGTGGTGTGATAAAATAATAATTAATCACTCTCGCCTTTATTAATTTGTTTGTCTGATTTCTGTAGATAAATTGATTATACCTTCTGTTTTCATTATGAGTGCGTATCATTGGATTTTTTCTATTCATTTGTATAATATTAAATAYGTATAACTTAAACAGGCACGTATAACGCATCTAAGCGTATAGCTTTGAAAACAGGATAATTTTTTACCATATAGTTATGCATCATAATATATTATTTTTGTGCCACAGTGGTTTTGTAATGATTTGCATGCTTACTAAATCGAATGACAATTTTATACACAACACATAATATAAATAGGTAGATGAAAACTTTTTGGAATTTATTAGTTTAGTTGGTTCATCAGTCTTAACTCTTAAGTAGGAACTCACAGAGACACACGGAGTGTTATGAAAATAGGTACACATTTCAACATAATACCTCGTTTGACTACACAGAGTGGGTGAAAACAATGATATATATATATAATACATAATATAATAGAAAGAAAACACCGACAAAATAACAAATGTATAATATAAAAATAAAATATGATCCGTGACATTGTAATATATATACATACACATCATATTATAATCATTCGTAAATAATATAGGTAGAATATCAGTATATGTATTAATCAACGGTTTTATATATTATATGTGTATACTATATTASCATACTCGTACCTACCTATAATTATATACTGCAGGCGTTATAAGCTATTATACAATATTTTAAAAAAAACTAACCAAAGATGTAATTATGATTTTAATAATTTACGTACTATATRTAGATAAGATAATAATTAATAGTTATAATTTGTAAAACTTGAAATTATAACTTTAGTGAAAACCTCAATAATTCAATCAATATAAATATAAATAATTTTTTCGTTTTCGTACCGTGTCAGAAACTTTTTGTATGCTTATTAGTTATTACTTATTAGTTTAATTTATGAATACCAACATTTGAGCGGTTAACTTTCGGATAGATACTAAACAAAACAAAATGTTTAGTCCAAAATAAGTAAGTACTAAGTACTAAAAAGGTAATTATATTCCAATAATTTGCTCTTAGTATTTTACCTTTCCAAAAAGATTTCAATCATACTCATAGTCATWACATTCAAAAGTAATAAAGGCAAATATTAAATTTGAAATAGGTCTTACATATTATATTACACTATTTTTACAATATATTTAATTATTATACATCTTTAAATTTGAATTCTCAACTTGAAAACAATAAAAGTATAGTTAGCTTTAAAAATACAAAAATTCA